TGATACAGCAAACAGGTGGCATTCGTCCGTCCTCCGTACAAACTGTCCCGTGGGTTCAGAGGGTCCACCATCTTGTAACTTTCCACAATTGCGCTTAAACTCGGGTTCGATTTTCAATTACTGATCGTACTCGTGTTCCCATATTTCTATCACTTGATATCCTTGCACTTCTAACTTCAAGCGATGTTGACAAGTTGTTTGGTACAACTCTTCCATGGTGCGTTGTAAAAGCTGGTTTTTAGTGTCACGGTGAGGATAACAGGTGGGACATCCGTAAGATAAACACCCGTTAAAATCGTACACGATCTGGGGGTTGTCTAAGTCACAGCCATGTACTGAATACCTTCCAATGGCTTTCTCACCTCCTCCATTGCGGCCATGTTGAATCTATTTGTCTTCCTTATTACATAAGTAATTTAACAAGCATATGGCTATGACTAAGTATTGACGTTTGGCAAAATTGGTTATTTGAGGACTGATGACAACTAGCAAATTTTCGGGGCAGTAATAGTTGTCAGTACACTAAGGAACGCGCTTTGGCAACAGGCGTCTTTCAAAGAATCGATCCCTCCGTGCTCCATGAACAGTTCTCGAAATTTTTAACAGCAACGCCGTAAAATGACAACGTCGGAACGGCAATAGTTTTACATTTCTTCCTAAAAACCGAAAGTATAGGAGTCATGACTCTGGTACCATGTGTAGAAAGCTTCTCGTTGTTCGGTACGCATGTTGTCGGGGTCGTACTACTCAGTCTCAGGCAAATGGGGTTAACCGTTGTGTTAATTGGCTTCGGTATTGAAAAAGTGTGGAAAATAGCCTTTGGCCATTTCTATCTTGCGAATAGTTTTAGGCATACGACTCAAATGCATGGCTAAGGAACTCATCGAATCTTTAAACAGCACTTGACCCACTTGTATGGAAATGATATTGGCTCCGTTCAAAGTCACATTAGGACGTTCAGTTCTTTGTTCCGCATAGTATCATTTTTCATTTATAGTTCCATTTAATATGGCGAGTATTTAGATCTGATTTGTTGAATTTCACAGCAACGAGAAGCAGCCTTCTTGTTAAAAGTAACGCGAAGAAATTCATAGTAATTCTGTGAATTTTAACTTTCAAACTGTAAATGCATAAAATGTAATGGCGCCTCTTAATTTGAATGCACGAAAGACGTATCTTAATACTCAATATTATTTTTAATTGTTAAAGTGGATATTGTGTAATGCTAGTTTTTACACCAAAATATCATTTCACCATATAAAAATAACAATTCTGACAAGCATAATAAAATGTCCAATCACATCTGTGTAATTCAACAGCTGTAATGTAAAAATTCAACATATGAAATGGAATTTTCAGCACAATCGATGTCATACATCATGTTAAATTGAAACTCTCGAAATATGACATTAAAATTGTAACAACTCTGTGTAATTCAGAAGATAGTCTAAAAAACTCGACATTGAACATCGAATTTTCAACCAGCGCTGTGTAATTCAACAGATATTATCTGAATACTAAACATATAAAAATGAACTTTCAACATAAACTCTTTGAACCAATACCTAAATTATGAATTCTCGACGTATGACATTGAAATTTCAACCACCACCCATGTAATTCAAATGACGCAATCTAAATCCTTGATATATAAAATATAACTTTCAACCACTTACGTTTAATTCAAAAAATACAATCTAACATCTTGACCCAGATAATGGAACTTTAAGGACAAGCATTTTTGATACAACACGTGAAATTGAAATTCTGGTCATAAGACACTAAAATTTCAACTGCGACTTTCTTACTAGACCAGGTTTTGTCCACTACGGCGCCACATAGAGAACGACAGAGACTGATATCAAGCAGCGAGCTACAGACGGAGATACAAGTTTCCGCTTGCTCAAACAGCTGCTAAATTCTGGATTGCCAGATCTTATATAGATACAGTAGGATGTGACTCCAACAGAAAATAAGAATTATTCAAAGAACCCGAGAAGGCGAGACTCGTGGCAGTTAGGCCGAGTTGTCATCTACAATACATTAATATGCATGTAAGCAATGAGGATGTGCCATTAAAGTGCTTGAGAACTGGCTCCAGGCAACAGCAAGTAGATTTCGTGTATTAACTTATTCAATATAGTTTTCCACATGAATCGTAAAATTGTTGGTGAGTTATCTTATATAGCCTGTATCTTTTCAATATGCATCGTGGGTACAAGGGGTGATCATATACTAAAATGTGTAGACAGATTATGGGCAAATAAAGGAAATTTAACATTAGGATACAATCTTGTTGAAATTATAGGGTGGGTAAAGATGGGAAATCTCACGTTAAAATTGGTTTATACATGTCTAGCTAGAAATGAAACAGTGTAACGCATTGGGTCTATTTGGCGGATATTTGCTGGTTGTAGTATGTATAGATTTGTTTTCTATACTTATGTATAGATAAGATCTCACTAAAAGAATTACATTGTTTGTTACGGACAGTACAATTACTACCCCAAAAAATATAAAAGATTAAAATAAAATAATAAATATACAACATATTGCCAGCCTTACTTTCAGTCCATCGTAATTTTCTAAAACAAATGTTAAGAAAGCTCGATAAATATGCTAAGTTTGAAGAAAGGTAGGTCATTACACTTGTTTAAAGAGTTTATCAGACGAGGAAATAATTTTTGTATCTCCTCTTTTTTGCCCCGGAATTCGTGCTTGGTACTATTAGAACCTTAAAAGGATTAATTGTACATACTGTAGACAAACAACTCCCACAACCACCACGCCATCAGATCCACCACGACCAACAGCATTAAAAGAAATGACAAGGTCTGTACTTAAACAGATCTTAGCAGTCCTCGATTTTAATAATTTTTCTTAATATGGGGTTGTTATGTTTGCTTGTTAGGTAAATTATATGATCAGAAATAATATTGCAGTGTTAATGATTTATGAATCCGTTTAGCTTTTTAGTAGTCAGTCTGTTACAAAATGCAGAATGAGTCTGTTCGAATTTTGAAACAACGCTGTTGACGGTACATCGAAGTTGTGCATTGTACACTTTGGATAGACTTGTATATCAAATTCAGAGAGAGAGAGAGAGAGAGAGAGAGAGAGAGAGAGAGAGAGAGAGAGAGAGAGAGAGAGAGAGAGAGAGAGAGAGAGAGAGAGAGAGAGAGAGAGAGAGAGAGAGAGAGAGAGAGAGAATTTTTAGTCCAAGTCCCTTCCTTCTGCTGTACAAATACCAAATGTTGTCGATATCGAGTCTCATGAGTCATCCAATATAAAAAAGGTAAAATATAGCCCACGTTCATAAGGGGAATTTAATATTAAACAGCCATCTTGTGGGTTTATAGCGTCAAGACATTAAATCTTTTGCGAAAATGATGAATTTATTTGGCTAGCAAAGTAACATTTTAAAATGCTGGGTCTGTTTGGCGGAAAATGGTTGACATATTGAAAAGACGAGAAAAGAGATTTAATAAACCAGTTTGATACTAGCCTGTTAATGTATTGCTTTCTACCAATTTATACAATGTTCTATTCATAATAGACACGAATATTTTGTATTTATAGAAGCTATACATTATTTATTGACTTGTACATGGCTTATTAAAATTCGTGTAACTTCATCGTCATCCTTTTTATTTGAACAAATTCTTTTAACATTAATAAGGTAGCAAACTTGTTTAGCCAGTTATTCGTAATAAATCCGATAATGGTAGAAAGCCTCTGGTATAAAGGGAAACAACTCAGTAGAGAATACACCATAATACATACAAAGTGCGTGCGTGTGTGCGTGTGTGTGTGTGTGTGTGTGTGTGTGAGAGAGAGAGAGAGAGAGAGAGATCACCGAGATAAGTCCATGTCACTTAGAGAAATATGATTTAAATTGCTCACGCTACAGATAAGCATAATCCTGCAAGCTTCTGTTTAAAGTATGTAACATCGTGAGTCTAAAAATTGTATTCCTAATGTTTAAGGCTTCCCTGATGTTGAAAACAAAAGATTGCGTCTCACTGCACGAATTGACAAATGGTCATACGCAGACGATAATTCAAAAAGTCGATCAAAAATTATAGTGATAGCAAGAAAATCTGAAAAGTGGAATATCACAATTTATTTATAATAAAGTTTAGAACACGGCAGAGATAGACGCTAATTTAGCTACTGGAAAAATATTTTAACGGTAAAAAAAATGAAATAGCTGGTAAATCACTGTCCATAATTCATTAACTTTTGACAATTTTTGAGGATCCACAGTAATCGACAAATAAATGGAAGATACAAAATCTTGAGTAAGATGGGTAATCATATTTTTCCTTATTTTGTTCATTGCAGCCTTTCGAGAGTCATAAATAATCTGTGCTGGACTTAACCGTATCTTTTGATAAATCTCTCAGTTTACATTCTTCTGAAAGTACTGTCACCCAAAGACTAAGAGAGAGAGAGAGAGAGAGAGAGAGAGAGAGAGAGAGAGAGAGAGAGAGAGAGAGAGAGAGAGAGAGAGAGAGAGAGAGACTTTATTATTAAATGTGTATTTTTTTTTCTTCTTTTATGTCAATACATATTTTAATACACCAATGTCACACACAAACACACTAAAACCCACTAATTCCTGTCACGTAGTTCTGTTTTAAAAAGCTTCGGCAAAGTCGAATTAGGTCAAATGTGTGGCGGGGGGGATTTCAAAATATCTTAAGGTGAGTAGACCTTCCTCGAAATGGTACCAAGGCAAAAGTCTGTGTGTCTATGTAGTGTGCATATAGCTTAACAAACGTGCGGAAACCTAGGACCCCCACCCCCCGGTTCTGGCCCTATACGATTTACACGTAGCTATGTTTTGTAAACGGACTCATATAAGCGACTATGTATGATGACGGTAGAAGTTTATGAGGCAGATTAGGATTATAAATCTTTGTTACAAATTTACAGGAGGCCCCTAGTGGCCCAGCGGTCTAAAGCGCTCACCGTTACGGATCACTGCCATCTCAACCGCTCAAGTAGCCTAGTGGTTGGAGCGTCTGCCTCAGATACAGGAGGTCGTGGGTTCGATCCCCTGTCGAGTCATACCATAGACTTAAAAAAAATGGTACAAACTGCTGCCTCGCTTGACGCTCAGCATTAAGAGGTTAGTGTTAGGACTAGTAGGCTTGGTGTCAGGATAATGTAACTGGGTGGGACACCATGCTTCATGTATACGGCATGATTCCCCAATGCTAGACATCACTATAAACTGCCACACTGCAGACATCGTAGCGATATTACTAAAAATTGTCGAAGCTACGTTAAAAATCATAATCACAACACATCACATAACATTTCTGCCATCTCACCTCTGTCTGCGTAGGTTCGAGTTTCGGGCTCGGCCATTGTTGGTATGTGAGAAGGCTTGCTGATAGCTTCTCGTGGGTCGGTGGTTCTTTCTGGGCTATTTCGTGGCTCTTACTCCACCATGAATAATGGCCACCATGTATAGCATATCTTGTTTCGAAAAATGGTGTTAAACCCTGTAACGACAACAAATATACTAAACGTATACTAATATCCCCCATTGGAATCGTTTGGGATATTGTTTTTCTCGATTGAAGGCAACAGGATGAAATATTGTACTGCCGATCCGCCAAGTTTATTTCTTGCATTTATGAACTGAATTTGGTTTATATATAAATATCTAAGAATTCTTGTAGCGTTCTGAGTTTGTATTTCTTTGAAATGGCGGATCTAGGTTCACTTCATTTCATGTGAGATATTCGATAAACATTTTATTTACAAAGACTGAATGGAACATTTTTTTGTATGCGACTTGTTAGAATTTGAGAGAAGTAAAGAACTGACAGTCATGCTGAAAGAAAACACGAGTTCTGTTCTTTCTAAAATGTATACTTGTTGCACCATGAAAACAATTTTCGTTTCCTTTCAATTCGAAATTGTGGCACAATTAACATTGTTTTCGAAATGTTTTTTTTTTTTTAATAAAGCGAGTCTTATAATATTATGTTTTCAAACTCTAAGTCCTTCAATAATTGGGCAAAACATTACGCTCAATAATGAAAGTAAAATAATAATGTTGAAGGTCGGTTGTATTTCATGGCCGGAAGATTGAAATATCTAGATTTTAGAAAGTGAGCTAATAAAGCACAAGCCTTACCAATATAACTTAAATTTTAAAATACAAAATTTATATTTCCTTTCATCGTACAACAAGTTCACATTAAACAAATGTTCTTTCATGATACGACGAATTTACGATAGAAAAACAAGTTCCGTATTTTTTATCGTGCAAAAACGTAGTGAATTTTGCTATTTCAGTAGTACAGTACTTTGTGTATAAAACCCCCATGGCGTTCACTGTTTTAATAATACATCGTTTACCGAGGAAAACTTCTACTGATGCAACGTAATTGTTATCTCACGTCTTCCATCGATAATAAGTAATATCACACCAACCCAAATAATTCCTTATACTCTGCATCTTTCCTACTTTGTGGATTAAGTATAGTGACCTGTTTCATATATTTTAATTTATGAACAACCAAAATATCTGTAACATATATGTGGATTTCGGGAAGAACGGTTCTGTTGACAGGTATTTTAGTCACACCACGAGAAATCCCCAAAACATGACTCTGTTGACGGTTCACACGACGAAAAAACCCCCCAAAACATGACTCGTTTATCCATGCAAAAGAAGTCATGCGTGGCATATTTATATTCGGGCAGTTTAAGGTATTCTTCACGAGATTAATTCAAGACGTTCTAACATTGACAACGACACAAGCTAGATCATGTAACCTGGTTATGTTTAATCCTCAGTGTTTGAAAAAAAAGGAAGATACTGGGTTTATAACATATACACACCATTTTCTTATGAGCGGATGATTGATAAAGCTATGTAAGTATATAACTATCTTTGTGTCCTTTTCTCTTTACATGATTTTTGTACATCCTTTTGGGAGACTAGCATAGGGAGATTTATGGACCAATTCAGATAATTATCGTTTTAAGGATGATTTTAGTACATTGCTAGAGGTCAGTGTTACTAATGATCATTGTTTTTGTTTTTTCGGTGTAGACTTTAACGGCACTTTTAACGCATTATTAACTGTATATTTTCTAGGAAATGGGAGCTAAATGCCTTTGTATGAACACGTGTGTGTGTGTGTGTGTACATGATAAGATAACAATTTCCATGTCTTTTCTGCAAATGCCAGAACCACACTATTCTTCTGCCCAATCACTATTGTCAATCATGTGTGTGTTGTAGGGGGAGAGAAAGCAGTGGTAGTGACACCACAGAAAATCAGAAATCATGAAGATTTTTATGGACCCAATTTGTAGTATTTTAGGAAGTACAAAAATAGCAATAATGAAAACAATTAGAAAATCTCCATACTAAGAACATAATATATGAGCATAACAAACCCATTTTGCACAGTCCAGCATGTAACATGATACCTTCTATTGCTGGACCTATAGAAATTGTTCAATACTGCTTACAATTCCTGTTTGAATATGGGAGCATCACTACTTATTAACAAAAGAGCATATAACCCCATCTCAATTATCCGCGGCAAAAATACCTTCTGCTTTGATACTGACATGTAATTTAAATGTATCTATTATGATCAATCCATTATTAAGGCTGAAATGTTTTATTTCAGTTCACAACTTCCTTGTTTGGTTCGCGACTGGATCATTTAATATATTTCATTTCTTTTGTTTTGATCTAGAAATCAGTTTTTCTGGCGGGAAGTGGCGTTTTGGTGTATAAATTAAGATTATAGAGCAGTAAACTGACTTAGTAGGTAAACAAACAATAAAAATAAACGTAAACGTATTTAATAGTTCCACAGAGACAATTTTTTTTTAAAAAAACTGTTGATTTTGCTTTTTACTGCACTGGTTGTTGACGGAACGTATTGAAGATACTGTCCATATTTCGACCATCAAATCTCTATGAGCCCTAGGAACAGTATGAACAAAATTAATGGCAGTTGCGTACAAAAGTAGAAACAAATTTAAGTAAACAGTTTTGTTTTCCATCTAGTCTTTGAAAAACAGAGTTCTACAAAGTTGGTGCAATACACCTCAACACCAGTTACACTTTAACAACAGTCACGCTGTCGTAAATATCATTCACCGAATTGTCTGCCATCTTGAGCAATGTGTAGCTTCTTGTCACCTCTGTTATAGTGTCCTTGTTCTCTAGATTTGGCAAGTTCCTAAGTGTTTACATAGGGTTAATGTCGACAACATGTTTTGCAGGACTAACAGTATTAATTATATAGAAAAATTTGAACCAGTCTAGAAATGGGTGAATATGATATATATATATATATATATATATATATATATATATATATATATATATATATATATATATATATATATATATATATATATATATATATATAAATATATATATATATATATATATATATATATATATATATATATATGGATTTGGCTGGTTGGGTTTGGTTGATAACGAAAGTAAGATTTTAAGAAAAATAATCTTTTTAGAGTTTATCTCAGTTGCAACTGAAAAAATACAAGAGATATTGTTTTATTCATACAATTTCAGTCCCTTTACAGATCTGAGTTTGAGAGACTCATTACCACAATCAGCACGTGGCTTTTTGGTGCCGCATCGAAAACAGGTTTCAAACACATGTAGATCCAGAAAATGCCACGGGTTATATGGTTTTCTCTGCATACAAACTGTCATCAAGGATGTGTGTATACTTATAAATATAACTTTGATCACGAGGACTCAGAAATTTAGAGTCATTTAATTTTTAATGTCATGGTGTTTGCATATGTTTACTATAGGGAACTGAAATAGCACTGTGAATCCAGCAACCATCTTTCTCCTGAACTGACAACGAGAAGGCGCCTTGAACTAATTATTCTCTATTCTGTGTATATAGCATGCAATCATCACGATGATCAAAGGGTATAACCAAACAGCATTCACTGAACGGCTACAGACAGTGCATATCGTTGAACCAAACCAACTGCACAACATATTTTTATTAAAAAACAAAACACAATTGTAACTGAAGACGGATTTAAAAGGCTTATCACGCGAGGGACGTGAGACATTGCTGATACAAGATAATTCATGTATAGCCTTAAGTCATTCAAACACTAATACTACGGATATAAATTGAACGCCAAAAAATACCACAGCTTCAAAGGTGTAAACATTAAGTAATTTAGTTTTGACAACCATCTGCTTGGAGATTCTGGTCTAAGGTCCATCGGCTGTCTGACGGGCAGTATATATTAGTACTAGACATAAATTCAATTCATAAATTCAAATAACTGAAATATTTGTAAGCTGTTTTTCCCGATCTTTTAACAGGCACTAAACAGTAACCACTAATTCATAAGAGGTAAGGGTCATCACACTGTACTCTTATTTGATACGCTGTGCTAGAGTAATCAGTGGAGCATGGTTATTTCTGCTCTAGCGATACATAAATTTTCTTCCTGCTCAGTAGGTTCAATCGTATGGAGATGGGTGGGTGAGGGTGTTAACAAGTCACTCATCTTTTCTACCAGTCTATCTATTCCATTAGTGTCCATTTCGAAGATGCGTGGTTTTAACAAATTGTCTTTTCAATGAATTGTAGTGTGGATGAGTTGTAATGGATCCAAAGGAAACAAAAATCTATTAGTCAATAAGTTAGTTAATGAGTCTCTTACACCAAAGTTTAAAGCAAGTTGGTCATTTTGTCGAATATGGCCAATGAATGAAAACTCTTTTTGTATGAATTTAATTTACACATTGTCACTTTATATATTCATATTTTTTAGGTTGATATTTATAGTTTAGCTGCAATGAAAAATACACAAAACATGTCGCTTGTACAAAACAAGGAAGTCCATTCCCATAACCTAACGCACAGAAGTTGTCTCGGGCATTTAAACATCACACATTCAATATTGGTAAGTTTTTGACAAGATGATGTTCAATATTATATCAGATGGCGGTTTTAACTATATAGTACTGGTCCGTGATGTTTATTTTATTACTCTTGATTGTTTTATCTTAATTTAAA